GCTCGAGACATTGTAAAGTAAGGTAGTTTCATTGAGAATGCAGACAGCGGAAGGATTTGTAGGAAAACGTGGCAGTATCTTGCCTCCCGTGCAGGCAGAATATTGGAGGTTGGGATTGCCAATGCCTCTCAGAGTCCTCGTAGTTTCCTGTGCCGTGTCGTGCGTGATGTGCATGGCGTGTGTGCAACGCTGACAGAAACTCTCTGTCCTGTTGCTGCTACATCCTGCGGGAGTGTCTCGATTGACTTGCGATGGTACCCCGATTGATATACGATTGATTTGTGCTTTCATGCCAGCTGTTCCCCGATGGAATTATGCCATAGCGTCGCGATTGCGCCCTCCCATTGAGTTCCGATAGTGTTCTGATGGGGTTGTGATGGTGCCCCGATAGGCTTTGCCATGAATTTGCCATGATGCCTTAATTGGTACCCGATTTCTGCGTAGTGGTGTCCCGATATACTTACGATGGCGTTCCTATTGAGTTGCGATGGTGTCACGATCGTTCTGCGATGGTGTGGTGATTGGTTGCGATTGTGCCCCACTTGATTACGGTTGACTCGTGATTGCTTCGATATTCTTCCGACTCATTTGCGCTTGTTTGCTGATTGATGTGTGAGGTTGTTCGATTGAGTGTGATGGAAGATTAGGCAGTGTGCGATTGATTTGTACTGGTGTTCCGACTGTGTTCCGATTGATTTGCGTTTGTCTTCCGCTTGATTTACGATGATGCCATTGTTGACCTGCGATAGTGTTGCCACTGGTTTTCGAATGCTTTCCAGTTTGCCCACACATCTTTTCTTGATGATTTTGCCATGGTGTCCCGAGTGTTGTGCGATGGTGTCCTGTACGGCGTATTTGTTTGCGATTGTTTCCTGAATGATTTGCGATTGTTCGATGGTGTCCCGTCCCAATTGATTTACGAAGGTGCCCCGGTCAATTTGTGGTGTTTTCCTCGATCGATGCTCGGCAGTTGCGACCGCGAAGCAATTCCAGCGCGTAACCTCATCATCAGCTGCAGGTCGATCTATCAGATACTGAAGGTGCTCGACTCACGCTCACCATGCATGTATGAGATGACACGGGGCTCGTTGCATCAGTGGATGCAGAGATGACGTGTGCAACTTCACCGTGCGCGCCTGATATGTGGATTGCCCGCGTACGGAATGCAACACGTAGGCTTAATTCGCGTGTTTGCATTGGACCCATCACTCGCAAGGACACTTACAAATAGTGTTTCCTGATCATACGAGAGGTATTCATAGTCCTCGGACTGATGAGCGCGAGGAATCCCAAAGGTGTGTGGGTATGCAGCACATCAGTCACATGTAAGCTCTGCGTGCTCCACCCATGCGGGTCTGCTTGTGGGAAGTCGGGCTCGCAGGTCTTCGCATTGATGTCTGCTTCATCCGTTCGTTGGATGATGCACTGTCTTACCTCCCTCGGGGCCTGCTGATGGTCCACGCAGGACCCTTCTGTCGCATGTTTATTTTCATTACTCCCATCTCCGGTTTTTCCGGACGAGTTGTTCTTGGTTGCCTTTCACTGCCCGCCTCCCGCCTCCCACCCGCTCGAGCAGGCAATTCAGGATCTGGCAGGGCGTGCCGATTCGAGGCAACGACGACCACCGTCGGTGCAGAGGGTGAGTTTCGAGCAGGCAGTAGCAAGTCTTGTTGACTTGGCTGTAAGCCCAGGAGGTTCTTCTCCTTGGCGCCTGAACCGTCACCTTGGTCGTGCCATTCTCCCAGCACGGGCGTGAAGAGAGGAGCTACTCGCGGCGTTCTCCTGGATCGAGAGGTAAAGGGCGATGTGGAGGCTGCGGATCGGGTCAGACGAAAGGGTAGGATAGGACACGGAGGGTTCACGACATCTGCTGCATGCAGCTGGTTTCGGCCCCGCCCCCGGGCCCACTCCTCGACACTCCGGGCGCCAGGAGGCGCCAGGACAACCAGCTGCGTGCGCTGCTTCCTCTGTCCTGCCCTCTCTGCTACATAGCCCACCCTCTCGCCCCCCCCCGAGAGGAGGGGGGTCCCGGGGGGGTCGTGCGCCTGCCATTGCCGTGGCCCCGTGCCCGCGCTTCTCCCCTGGGCCCCTCCGGCCCGTCCCCTCGCCTCCCGGCCGCGCCCGCTCCCTCGAGCGGCGGCTGGGCTGGCGGCCGCCCCCGCGCGCCCTCTGGCAGATCCGTGTTCGAGGGCCCAGGCGATCGTTCTCTTGTTCCGTGTGTTGCCGATCGGCGCGGGCCCTCGCACCCTCCCCTCCCTGTCCCTATGGAGTAGATCTTGGCTGTTTCTGGCGCCTGTTTCGAGCAGGTGGAGCCTCCCCCACAGGACGCACGGTTGCAAACAGTCGCATTAAGCAGAGGTCCGGAGCCAGGCATCCCCCTTTTCGTCCAATGTTGAAACGCCGAATAAGAAAACGCTCACCTTCTAGAAGACCAATATCTGGGGCCCATGTCAAAGACCGCTCTCACGTTCCAGCCACGAATGTCCATAGACACACTGGGTTGCGCTACGTATGTAAACGCGTCTGGGGCAGATATGTCTACAGACAGCGCGGCCGTTGCGTTCGGCACAGTACAAGGGTTGCCTTTCTCAGACTTTTTTCGCCGGCGAGCGAGGGGGGGAGGTGAGAAGGAGGAGGCCTTCTCAGAAGGCGGCGGGGCTCCTCAGAAGCCCTCGCGCCCTCTGAGAGCTGTTCCGTGTCTTCGGGGACGGCTTCGAAGACTTCCAGAAGGCCTGGGGACTCCCGAGCCTTCCGACAAGGCCCGCCCTTTTCTCGCTTCCCCCTGGGCTCGCCGCCGTGATCTGTTGCCTCTCTTCAGACCTTCTCTCGGGCGATGGCCCACTCGTTCGCAGGCCTAGAATTTGACACCAACACCAATATCTGCGGTGTGCCTCCACCGAGGGAAGACGATCCCGATCTCGGTGATGGTGGCAATACTCTGGCTTCCAAGGTGGCCGAAAAATTACCACCAACACCGAAATCCAGGATCATCTCCCCCCTGTGGAGGCAACCCCCCTGTGTTGGTGTTGATGCCCATTTCCAGGCCCCCAACTCGTGGCGACGATTTTTCGCCTTAGCGGGGGTGGCGCGCCCGCGGGCGTCGAGGTGCATCCGTCGATCCCCGCCGCCGCTGCGCTTGGTGCGTGGCGCCCGCCCGGGACGGCTCACCGCACCTCGCAGTAAGTCGGGCCTGTCCTTCTACCACAGGGGGGATGTTCAAAAATAGTCCCAACAATAGCCTGGGGACGATTTTGTTGACATTTTTTGTTGTTGGGCTATTTTTGATTATTTGTTAGGTATTTGGTAATTTTCCGTCTCAACTCTGCCTGTGGGGGGACACGCCCGACCCGAACCTCGCAGCCTCTGTCCTCCTGGCCGCCCCCCGGCCCTCTCGAGCAAACGCCTCGGCCCGCGCGGACCACGTCCAGGGTTATAAGTACAAAGTAATGTCGCTTGGCATCGCTCGGACGTGTGCATTTGTCCTTCGGCGAGGACCATCGAGGAGCATCCTTGATCATTTGGCGAAAAAACCACGCACGAAACCGAAAAAAACACAGAGAATGGACGTCCGAGCGATGGCCAGGTCGGAGTCGGCCTGTTTTCAGTGCTTCCGATACTTTGTATTCGGGCGGCCTGCGCCATTCCGCCGACCCCCCCTAGAAGTTGCAAAGAGCACCGCACGATGGACGGCTGCTTGAGGGCACCGTGGGGTGGCTTCGGGGAGGCTTCTGGGAGGCCCGTCGGAGGTTTCGGGGGGCGTCGTGGGGGCGCCTCGGAGGCCCTCGGGGAGCTCTCGGGGGCATCTTGGGGGGAAAGGGGCTACACCCGTGAAGTCGTATTCCCCCTCCTGGGTCCCTTCTGGGTCCTCGTGGGCCGTTCAGGGGGGCCCTCGTGGGCTTCTTTGGAGCCCTCTTGGGCTGTCTTGGGGCGGTCTTGGGGGCCTTCGGGGCCGTCTTGGAGCGACTCTGTGGGGCCCTTGAGCCGTTGTGAACGCTGGGAAGATGAAAGAAACGAGTTTGCTAAACATGTACGCTTTCCGTGGGGAATGGGACGATTTTTGCCTTTAGGGGCCTTCTCGGCGGTCCTCTGGGGAGCTTTCTTAAGCCGTCCGAATCGCCTCGGGAACCGTTTGGAAGCTAATTGGACCGTCGAGGGGCTACCTAGGGCCGTCTCGACGCTCTCTTGGATGACTGCCTTCGAGCTCCTGAGGGCCCGCCCAGGGGCGTTCTGGCTCCGGAAGAAGCGCCGGTGAGCTCGTCGACCCCTCCCCCCTCTTGCCCCTCCATGAGAGGGGAAAAGGAGGAAGGGGACAGCCAATTATCTCACACCTCCGGGAAGCGGAAGTCGGCGGATTTTTTTCCGCGCCGGGTGGCGGAGCAGAACATTGTCTAGAATCTTCGGGTCTGGGTTCTTTGAAGAGATACATCGTGGACGAGCCCTTATCAACCTTCTCTTGTCCGCAGCGCCGCTCCGTCCGCGCCGATCCTCCCGCCGACCCAGTTGTTCGCGATGGCACGCAGCAGCAGCCCCCTCGTCGCTGTCCTGGTGTGCACGGTGCCTCGATGGGGCGACATCAGGGGTTCTCCTTACCGCTGGGGACAAGGATTGGGCAGGAGGAGGATGAAACGGAGGAGGAGACGGAGATGATCACGAGGAAAATGAGACGGATGGTACCGAGGACGAAACGAACAAGGAGGAGGAGGAGGAGGAGAAGGAGGAGGAGGAGAGGGCATATTAATACGACATGAGAGTAAGAAGGACGATGACGTAAAGGATGATATTGAAGAGCAGCAGGGCGGGAGAAGGAGTTCCGCCAGGCGCTGCTGTGGGCGGGCAGCCACACGTTCGTGCCGCAGCCGGCGCAGCGGTCTGCGG